CATACACTGTCAGCCTGTGTCATCAAACAAGGTTGTAAAACTTGGGTAATGTCCTTTTCTTCCTAATCATGATTACATGCTGTGGCTGCTGACGCAGACAGGCTCTGGTGGAGCCTGGAATGGTTCGTGCAGAAGGTTAACTGCCCTGCTCTTTGTCAGCACCAAGGCTAGTATTTCTCATTTCTGTTCCAGAGTCGGTGTTTAAATAAATAAATACATACATAAATAAGCTTACTTCAAACCGGAAGTATTCTTTATCCTAACTCTTTAGCACTCTCCCAAAACACTCGGCAGTGTTAAGGCTCTTGAGCATAGTGAGAACAGGATTAAAGCAGCAAAATCAAGAAGATGGCCAAGATTGAGCGAAGTAATGTGGAAGGGGCTGCAGAAGGAATTCAAAATTGAGGGAAGAACACAGAAAAATTAGAGTTAATGAAGAAGGTGTTAGGGAAAAAAGGGATGAGGCAATAGAAGAGCAGGAGAATGTTAGATGAGAGAGGGCACGTGCAGGTGGTGGCGGAGTAGGGGCAGCTAAAGGGTGAGCCGTGTTGAAGGATGGCAAGTGACAGGCAATTCAGAAGGAGCAGGAATTCAGCGTTCAGCAAAAAGCATATCAGAAAGAGTGACAGTAATTCAGCGAGTCCCAAAATGTTGTTCAAATGAGAATGTTTTGGCAAAAGCAGTGAAAGACACTTAGTGTAATCAGATGAGACATCACTCCACGAATGGGATAAAAGTGAAAAGAGTCAGTACAAAGGAAAAGAACAGCTGCAGGAAATGTTCTTTGAAGCATATGGAGTCACTGGAAATAGGAAACTGATGTTGACTGTGATTTGTACAGGTTAGGAAACTGTTGTCACGGTCCTCACAGCGAATGTCGTCCAACCAGTGGCGAGACAAAGTCTGTAAGGTGTAAATAGGAAACACAGGCTGTTTCCTATAACCTTTATCAGATATGAAGTGGGAATTTTAGTGGGAGAGCTTGAATTTTGTTGAAAGGAGATGGTACGGAAAGCAAGATGAAAAGGTAAAAATTGTCAGCCTTGGCTTATGAAAATGTGCCAGAGGAAAGTAGACAGCAGAGAACAAGCTGTAACAAGAACTTGTAAGAACAAGGATAGCAGGAGAAGAAATAGCACGGAGGAAACATCCAAACACCATTAATGCACACCTGAGAGGTGAGCGCTCAGTCCCCATGTGCAGCAAAGAAGAGCAAACGTCATTAAGAGTGACATTTAACTGCCACAGTGAAAGCAAAGCTGACAGTAATGAGAAGACGAAGGAAAGATAAAAGGTGCTTGGCTAGACTTTTCTCCCCAGAGAAAAGCGAGGTTGTACCAAGGCAGATCCAAGTCTCAATTCTCAGAAGTATTTTGAGAGAAATTAGCTTGGCTCAGGACAACTGAAAAAAAAAAAAAGAACCCCATACCCAGATGTTCAGATCAGACAGAAATTACAATGGCTGTCAGCAAAAGGTCAGATACCCTGGCTAATGCTGTAGCGCAGACTCAAGAATATTCTAACTGCAGTTTCCACTTTGAAATCTGTTTTATTTGCATTTCTTCGTGATAGGCATTTAGTTAATAACATTCAGTATCTTTAGAAGTCAAAATACACTGCAAATCGCAATACACAGCCAGAAAAGAGACAGGTTGCATTAACTCCACCAAAGTGATGAAAATTTCACCAGAAACAGAGCATTCTTTGGTTAAATAAGACCAGCAGTTCGGACTAGCTGTGCTTAAATCCTGGGCATGCATTATGTGTGCACATATTAGCAAAAAGGGAGAACCCACATTTAGAACTCTTGTCTTCCTTTTTGTCAGCAAGTATACAGACATGGCGAAACGCATCTTTTAAATACTGCAAAACCACAGTTAGAGTTTTAAATAATACACATTCCACAACAAGCTTTTTGGGGGAAGCTGCAGAAATAACTCAAATACAGAACACGTGGAAATGAATTACACATCAGCTAGTGGAAATGCTTGATAAATTAATAAGGGTTTGTCAAGACCTTTTATAAAAATGGGGGTTTTTTTAATCTAATAATTAAAGCACAATAAATAAAAAGTATTTTTACTGTTGACTTGAACTGAAGCAAGAGCAGAACCTTTATGGTCTCAAGGAACTATGATTTTACTATGATATCACAAGAACACTCCTCGGATTAAAAGCTTTAGCAAACATCACCACATGATGACCCACATCACTTGAGACATTTGTCTGTTTAAAGAAAAATCGGAGGTAGTATAAAATTAATAATGCAAAGCCCAATTAAGCAAACTACCATCTCCTCCCTTTTTTTTTTTCTCCAGAAAATTCCATTCAAAACCTGCAGGTCCTCTTTTTGATGAATTTCTACAGGCTTTCAAGGACTTTTATGGTAGCTGTTGCTTGGGAGAAGGAAGCATGAAATGAAAACAGGTGATTTAAGACAGCATTTCTTCATGAAGCCCCTTTTGTCACTTTACCTGCCATCGCCGTTTCATGTTTTGAGGTTCTGTCAGGAGCCTCGCGGCAGGTCCATGTAGTAAAGCTTCTTGATGAATGCATCCATTTACCATACGGAAGCTACTCCAGTTCATCTAGGTGTGCAGCGAGACAGCCGATAGCGAGTAGGGTATTGTAAATTCACAACCTTTCTTAATGCACACTGACTTCTTAAACTGTCAAAAGCTCTACTAAACATTGTTGGTACAATCCCTTGCTGCTTTAAGGCAGGAGTGTTAGTAAGCTAATGGATCGGACGTAGGACCATGTCACTGTTACCAGGCTAAGGATACAAGTGGAATTGAGAGCATAGTAACAGCAGCATTTCTAAAATTCTTCCTCTCTTCTTCAGCTTGTTTAAACATAAAGCTTGTACACTGGATTTTCTTAATCTGTGTGTGCATGTGTGTGTAGGGGTGGGGGAAAGAACAGGCTGTTCAGCTTCCTCTGGGAAAAGTAGTGCACCGGGATAATGAAACACATAATTAAAGTTGCACAGAAATGTGAACACTTGTACAGATTCCCTTACAGGGTCCAGTGCTCTGCCCAGTGAAGTCAGTTTTAAAAATCCCATTAATCCTAATGGACAATGTATCAAATCTATAGTGGACAAAGATCTCCATGGCAAAACAATATGAATGGAGGAGGATTTCACTTCATGGTATTCTATCTACCTGTACAGGAGGGGTTGTTTTGCTTCAGTACTACACAGTGTAAGATTCGGGGGCAAACTCAAGTGGGAAAATGCTGCTCATCTGCCAAGAAAAAAAAAAGGAAATAGATTTAGGCAGGACGCTTCCTCCTTTCGACTAACTACCTCTGCCAAAGATCTGCACTGTTAACAGAGTCTCTGGCCACGAGACAAGGAAGAAAAATGCTGGCAATGAGACAAGGAAAAAAAATGCTTGTAAGTGTCTAAACAAAGTTTTGCCCCTGCATTTGTCTTCAATTCTGACAGAGTATCAGGAATGATAGTGATGCCCAAAGCCTTGAGCTTAAGCCTAAGTGGCCCCTGGTAGTTAAACCCGTGTGGTGTCCAGCTCTGCTGCGGGAATGACTCGCTCTCTCCATGCCTGAACCAAAATGAGCTCAGCTACATTTAATTGGTTTCCAGCTGGCAGTAGCTTGTGCAGCTGCCTCAGAGCCCTGTCTGGGGATTAACCTGTACAAGCTCAGGTCACTCGCCCAGGGACCCAGGCTCTTCCTCAGCTCAGCTCAGCTGCAGTGCGGGCTGATGTCCAGAGCTTGGGTGTCCTCCCAGGGACGCTGGAAGACTTTTCCCACAGGCACAGAAACCCCATTTCAGTATGTCTCTTTCTTAATGTAACAAGGAGAACAGCAGTGTAATTTGCAAGCTGTGTAATGACTTGGCTTGTTGGCATGGGACCTTTCTCACAGTGATACCCTTAGGAACTGCAAAATAAGTTTACTGGGACATAAAATAACTTTAACTCTCTTGGTATCACATGAGATGCCTATAATAATGTGTTTGCAACAAAGTTTGTACTTTCCACAACAGGAAAATGAGTTTTTCCTGGCCTGAAATACCTAGCTGTCTTCAGGCTTCTTTAAAAAATAAATGCACGAATCAGCCCTTTAAAACTTGGTGAGAAAACAGTTAAGGGACTGCTCCACCCCTAGATGAGTTAGTAATGGTTCACAAAAATCAGTTGCACAAATGAGTTAAAGAAGTGGCTGGAGAAAGGATGCAAAAAAAAATCAGGACTACAGGCTATTAAAAATACTAAGAACATTTACTTAAAGTCTTATTATGAGAATGTTTATACTTGTATTGGGATAATCCTTGTGGGGCTGATTTGGTTGGGGCCCTCAACATGTTTAACCAGCTTTGTGTCAGTGAGAGAAAAGTTATACCTGAGCTGTCTTGTTTAAGCTGCTTGCATTTCTTCTACTAAAAGTAAGAATTTCTACTCAATTTCCAAGTGAAATTTCGAATCAGATAATTAGGGAAAAGCACATGTAGAAAATAACAGTTAGTGAGTGAGGACAGCTTTAGCAAAATATTTTGTAAAAACTTGAGTATCTAAATTTGCAGCTATTAAGTTTATCTTACCTACAAATCAAAGGAGACCATGAAGCAGTAATACCTCCACAATGCATAGAGGGTTCTGAGTAGGCAATTTGCTTTTTCTGTAAATCAGAACATTATATTTAGCACATACTGCAGTTTCCCTGTGGGTTCACAGCAATAAAAGTCAAAACAAATAGATACAAAGCATTTTTAAGCAGCATTCAAGATGATGCATTGCCTGTTTGAAATGACACATTTGTACATTGCAGGGTAGGGCTAGCATCCACTGCTCCTTTGTAATTTGAAAGTCTGTGTTGGTTTATTTTCACTCTGCTCCATGTAACACAGGGCTATTTTGAAACCTTCTGGGGGGAAAAAAAAAACACTGTGAGGTAACCAACCAGCATTAAATTTTAAAACTGTTTGCAAAGGAAACTCAGATCTCTATCTCGAAGCCCATTCAATCATCCTTTACTTGGAACTGCTTTTAAATACTCTTCTACTGCAATGGCAGAAACCTCTCCATACCAGCTTTGAAGCCAGATGTGCTTAATGTTCATTTTCATGAAGAACCACTCATAGCTACGAGGCCACTTTCTTACCACCGGGTGCCTGGAAGGACAAAGAAAAGAAAAACAAAAATTAAAAGATGTGCCAAAGCATACGCATAGTCTGCTTTCTTCTTCAGCCTAGAGTGTGCTCAGCCAGAGTGAAACCTGAGAGCTGACAACCACCATCATTCACCTTTTTGCCACCCCTCCCTTGCAGTAAGGTTTATGGTCGTCCACACCTCATTCTGCTGAGAACTGCAACGAAGGCAGCCAGCAGACACTCCCTTCTCCCACTGCAGAAACCCATCTCTAAAGGCAGGTGTTGTTGGGTCTCAAAGTCAGTGAAAAACAGTTAGAGGAGATTCCCTGAACATGTGTCAGGGTTGTGCTTGTATCTGTTCCAAGGAAATGGTGTTCTGAAAACACATCATCTTCGGTAGCAGTTGCTGTGGTACGGTAGGAAAGCTAATAAAACTGGCTAGCAGGCAGGGCACAGCCTCCTCGAGCTGTTGCCTTCTCCTCCTCTATTTCTCTCATTCTTTGGGCCTGCCTTTACAGCTAGCTCGAGGAGACCCTCCCCACCAGCAACACGGGGTGCAGACGTCTGGTCCCCAAGCCCCTGTGAGTGCATCCTCAGAGGATGCTGTGGCACGCTCGGCAGTGGTGCAGGGAGCGGGTACAACAGCTCAAGCCACAGGACAGCTAGAGAAAGGGCTGGAGATAAACAAAATACCTTTGAACTCTTGGTCATAACGTGTTTGCAACGAAGTTTATCCTTTCCACAACAGGAAAATGAGCTTTTCATGGCATGAAATACCTAGCTGTCTTCAGGCTTCTTTAAATAATAAATGCCCCTGCAGAGGGCCCTGCAGAGGAGAGGGCTGGTTTGGCAACCTTTGGGTTGAGCTGGGGTCTTCACCATTTTCTGAGTTGTCCCTCTGAGCACCCATGACTGTGGCATTGGGAAGTGGCTTCAGCTGCTGCTGGCATTGGATGGGATAAGCCCTGGCAGCCTGTCGGTCTGGCTTTTGATCCCTGACAGTGGAGCATCCGCTGCCAAGGTGGGCTCTGGCTGGCGTAGCAATCTGATTTCTGCAAAGACTGTAAAAAAGGCTCCTGTGCCAATATAGCCCCGTCTATCCCTGCTCCCGTTTGTGCTATTGCTGGGACACGCGCTGACAGAGTCCCACCCAATCCCTTCCAGCAGGCCAGAGATAACATTGCCCCTGGGCTGTTGCGGCTCCCAGTTTCCCAGCAGGGTGTGACTAAGCTCACAGGGGATGCCTGGAGGCCTGTCCCTGTGCGGGAGGTGTGTGCCCCAGCCCAGGTTTGGGCTTTCCACGCCTGTTACTTTGAAGACCCACTGGAGGGCATGGGGGCACACCCTAGGGATGTGTGTGTGTGCATGCATCAGGGTTGTGCTTGCATCTCTTCACAAAAGACTGTTCTGTAAGCATTCTGGCTTTGGTGGCAGGTGTGGTACGTCAGGAGGAGGAATAAAACCTCCACTCTGCCAACAGGCTCCAGCCCAAAGGCAGCAGAGCTCTGCTCTGTCTCTGAGTAGAGGGCTGTGGCTGAAAAGCACAACCTGTCCTCAGGTGGGGAAGAATCATTAAAGGTAACAAACACACCCTGGATTTATGGAATCTCTCCTTGGAACCAGGTGAAATATTTTCATAATCCCCAGATTATAAACCATGTGCTTTACCGGAGCCCAGTACCAACTCATTGCCTGCCCGTATTTCATTACCTCAAGAGTTAAAAGGAGGTTGCACAGCTCTGCCTGTCCTTCCAAGCCACAGAGGAGCCAGCAGGCTTCATGGCCCCAAAGTAAAGATCAGGCTTGTTACTTTACAGATTTACCGTACCAAACAGCCACATCCCTATATTCCTCTCAAACCTGCGGGTTGCAGTCTACTACGTGCCCGTTACATACAGACCTGGAAAACATTGCTTGCTTGGCAAATTCCACTTCCTCCGGAGGCACCGTGACCATCTGTCCCATGAGAGTCAGCCTGGCGCACCTCGGATCCTCCGGATCAATGACGTTTTTTCTGTGCATAGAGAAAAATGCTCACGTGTAATAGCTTGGTGTCTTTGTTAAGGGGTTTTGGAGAAATATCAGCTCCTGCTCGCATATAAAAAGCTGCAGTATTTTTGTTGAGCCTTTCTACATTTTCTACACCCAGCTGTAACATTTGGAGGGGCTTTTGAAGGAATACTCGCCTGAAACAGATCTCTCCTGTAGATACTCGCTTAATCTTAATTTATGTTCTTAAAAACTGGATTAATATATGTTAGATTTAAAAAAAATGTGAAAAATGGCAGTTTTCCCAGACATAGGTACAGACCTCAATTCAGGATTCTGAAGAGAACTAGTGGGATGGTGAGTCTTTGCCTAAGCCTACACAGTAAGCATGCATACCTGTATTTGTGTGTGAAACTAAGGTCTGTTCCTCGTGCCTATCCTAGAAACCCAATCCTTGCTCATTTTAACCCATTTTTCAGCTGCCTCACACCAAAGAGGCAAGTAAGATCTATTAAAAAAAAATTCTCTAATTGCCTTCATCCTTCAGACTGAGACAGGGAAGGTACTTGTTGCTTTTTGGCTCTTTCTATACAGTAATAATAAATAACTCCCATTAGTAGCAATTGCAGGGCAATTGCTGACTCTGATGTATAATACAAGGATGTAAATCATAAGTAAATTGACCAGTTGCAAAAGAAAGTTGTATGAAATGACTGCAAAGACCTGATCCCGGCAAGCGCTGAGAAGCCCCCAGTCCCAGTGCCAGCAGTTTGAGACTGCTCAGCATCTCATGATAAGGCTCATAACATAAGCCTGAAAAACTACATTAGGAAATGAAGATTGCATTTCTTCTTCTCTGTGTTTTAATCTGAAGCAGCAAATCACAGTAAACTACATCTCATCTGTGTGTGATTTTACTTAAAGATCTTGGCTTGAGCCCTTTAGCCTTAATGGTGTACAATCTGCAACGGCTTTTTTGGGGGGGGGCAGGTGGGAGGTGTTATAATTCTCAATATGTGCCTATTGCATGCAGGAAACATATGGACATTCTCCTGCAGCTAATTTAACACCTGCAGATTCCTCACAGATGGTTATGAAAGACTGTGTAGCTCAATGGATAAGGTATCTGCTTGTATAGATAGGACCATGAACAGAGATATGCGAGGAAGTACAGCAGGCTGATGGATACTCAGCTACGCCCAGAAACCACTTGTCACCATCTGTAGCCTGAGCTCCAAAGAGCCATTTGCAATCCCATCATCTCCGGGATGGGTTTTCAGCATCCTGGAGCAGCAGTTGTCTGAAGGGGGTGTTCAGCTTAACCACCTCTGATCCAACTCTTGAGCAACCTGGTCTAGTGGAAGGTGTCCCTGCCCATGGCAGGGGGGTTGGAACTAGATGGTCTTTAAGGTCCCTTCCAACCCAAACCAGTCTGTGATTCTACTCATATGCTTTTTCCTCTACTGCACTTTCTGCATGGGAGCAAGGCCAGCTCCCAAGGACTAAGCTCAAACTTTCTGTTCACATCAATAACTAACAGTCTGATTTTCTCTAGTGCTTTTTCTTATCACTATTACTATGAAGTAATAAATGAATGGTGTTCTCTGTACCTGAAAATCTGCAATCCCTACCCTGACACCAGGTTTCTTCCTATCAGTGTGCATTCAGAGTACGAACCTGTCTACCCGCTCGCCTTGGCAGGCTGTAGATGCCCAATGCTAACTCCTACTGCACACTGAGTACGCAGTTTCCCAGCTGGTGTACAGTGGCCTGGGAGCGACCTGTCCCCAAGCAGGACAGCTCCATGGCCTGGGGACACCCGCAGCTCCCGGCATTTCTTCTGCCTACGCTTTGGGTGTTGTGTGGCCGATGAGCGCCCGCGGTCCAACGAGAAGCTCGCCCATCAAAACAGGAGTAGGTACAGGCAAACACAGTGTATGCAGCTGTGGAGAGAAGATCTCCTGATCTACTGTCATCTTTGGTGCTTAATACCGTGCCAACACCTTCTACATATGCTTATATGTTTACCTTGATGATTCTTAAAAATACAGAAGGGAAGGGACTTCTCACTAGCTGAATTTCAGTTCAGAAGATCGCTTTAAACTAATAACTGTGCACCTGTGTGTATGAAGCCATTTCCTCCGCAGCCTAACAGTATCATAACACAGCTGAAGAGGCGGGAAAGCAGTGCCTTTCTTGTGTATCCCTCCTGGGTAAGATGTTGTTAGTTACTCTCAGAGAGGAATTAGGGAGGGGATTGTTATTAAAGGATGTCTGCATTTCACAGAGTGGATCAAAGTGATAGATTTGGGCAGGAACAGGAGCAGCAGGATGTTTTGGTCTGACACCTTCTCCAATTACAATTATTTGATCTTTTTGTGCGAGTACATGTTTATTCTAAAAGTGTACTCATTGTTTTTGAGTAGGCAGTAGACCTGACGTGGCTGTGGGTAAGCAGTGAATCCTGCCCATCTTTCCTGAGAGGGTTTTGCCTGATAGCACCGGTGTCAGATGTGACTCTTCCACGATTTACAGGAAAAACTGCTCTCCACATATTTGGCTGGCAACAAAACCCACACACTGTACATCCATACCTGGAATGGTTTTGTTTCTGGTTATTTTTCCTCTGGCTCCTTCTTCTGTTTGCAGTTTTCTCCGTGTTCTCATGAGTCAGGGTGTTACACTGATCAACACACACAATACTATCTCCCCAGTAAAAGTTATTCAGACTGAATTTTGCACATTGGAATAATATTCTGGAGGGTCAGTTTGTTTTTCTGGGAAATGAGGCAAACAAAGTATTTGTTGAGATTGTTAGATGACGTTTTGGAAGAGCTGACCAGGACAATGATACGTTTGAGTTCAGTACGCTGTGTTATTACTTTGTTGGCTTTGCTTTTAGCACTGCCTCTTATCATAGGGTTTCTGTTTCAGAATAGGAACCTTGTATTCTAACCTTAAATTAGCATTAGTATTTTCTTTATCAAAAGAGCCCCTTCATATTCTGAAGAAAATCTGTTTCTGCATCGGTTTTGGTACAGTATTTACCTAATAACATGTGATTACTTTTGTACTTTCTAAACCATCAAAAATCACTAAACTTACAGCTACCACTTCTAACTCCATTGTGAACAGGTCCTGAGTTTTCAGTGGTGTTACCAGTGCAACTAATGTAAATGCAAGCTTTGCTTCCTGCGAGTAAAGGGATATAGCCAGGAATATAGCTCATGTTTTTACTGAAGATAATAAAGGGGTAGCAGGGATAAATAGGTACATTTACTAAAATATTCCTCCCTCACATTTGTAGAGGTCTAGTCATGCATTCACTAGTCACTTCTTGCCTTCTGTATAAATAAACACATACTAAGTTCTCAGTCCTTAGGTTCCTTTTATCTTTGCTGGCATGAGAACAAGTAGGTGCGGAGGAGCTGCTTTATATAACATTTGCGCGCTGCTGACGGGGGCGAGGGGGAGGTACGGCCATGGGGAGAGACAGTGCCATGTCCCTCTCGAGGAAACCTGAAGTGGCTTCTCAGGCCCTGTCTTTACCAGAATCAGGGCCTGTCTCCCTGGAGAGGATTTGATGAAGGGCATGATAAAATATGAACTGAGGGGAACAGAAAGCAGGGAACTGTGGAAGGAGACCAAGCAATAGGGAACACATTTAATTTTTATGCTTATGTGAAATACATATATCTTGTGGCAGAAATCGAGGGAAGCCAGATTAAAATGGAAGGAAAATTCAGTTTATGCATTTTATAAGAACACAGTGCATTAAGAGAGATTATCTTAATTATTCATCTGATTTGTGAAGAGAGAAGAATTGATTGCCTCTGTTCTTCTGCTTGCAGTGAGCAAATTAGCTATGCAGAGCTTGACCCAGTCCAGGCAGTTCTCCCTTCCAAACATGTGAGATGACAGCATGAGCTGCATTCCCTTACAAAGGTGCCAGCTTGACTGAGCGTAAGGAGAAGCCTGTGTCCAAGTGAAATATGTTTCCCAACAGCGAAACAATGCCATGAAGCGCACTGCTGACGAACACGCCCCAGTTATTTTACCACGTACCGCTTCCGCACGTTCTGGGTCACAGTTCAAGAGTGGTTCACAGTAAAGAGTGCCACCTACTCATTAAATTGTTTACTACACTAGCCAAGAGTTTACTACACTCTTGGATTTTAATTAGAAGGTTCCTACACAAGAACTAGCCAAGTCCAGCTCTGATGAACCCGCAGTTCAGGCCGATGCGGTTATATTGGCACACGAGGTGATGAGGTCGGGACTTTGTTAGGATTCCCCTTTGCAGCTGAGATCTCGGCTTTGACTGATGATGCTCTGTCTCTGTGTTTCTGACCCAAACTAGCCCTGGGGTATCATCTTAATTCTCAGCCTTTGCAGTCCGCTAGCGAGGTGAAACAGATCTGGCCCAGATCAGCAGTAAAGGCAAAACAGGAGTTTGGGAGGCACTTGGGAAGGAGAGCCAGGTGACCTCGAGAAGGAATCAGTAGGAGCAAGGCTGGATAGTTCAGGAATGCTCCAGGGACTGGGCGAGGAAGAGGGGTCTGTGGAAGGGAATCCCTCTTTTTGTTCTTCCCCAGCCTCCTTTTCCCACAGAAGAGTTGCCGTCCTTCTCCTCCACTCCCCTGAGGAGACAGGCCTTCCATCTTCCCTGTCAGGATCCATCAGGATCCATCAATCCTTCCCATCACCCCTGCCCGCAGTTCTCCCTGCCCTGTGAGAAAGCACTGCTTGTACTCCTCTGTCTCTTGAGCAGAATGGAAAAGACGTTGTAAAGAGCCTTCTCCAGTTGCAGTAAAGGAGAGACAGAGAGCCAAGAAGAGGGCCCCGGAGAACAGCTTTCCTACATTTTTTTCCACTTCAGAACATGCAGCTCGTGTGTGTCATAAGGGCAATATAGCAACGATGGCCTCTGCACACCCTAACCTCTCCTACAGCTGCAGCAATGGCCAGACAAAGCCACGCAATTAGGAGGTGAGGACTGGCTGCTGGGACAGCTCATTCCTGTCA